AGTCTTTCTACTACCCTCCAATGAGAGAATTGACTCAGTCATGGGGGGAATTAGCACATTATTCTTTACTGCTCTTATCTTGTTTGTTCAATATTTCCCTTCTTTTATCTCCTTTTCACAAAAGTCTGTGTAAAAATCCCCAGGCAACTCCCAGGATGTATCTTTTATACAGAGACCTATTGTGATGCTCTGCATTTAGAGGTACATCGATCCCCCAGGATGGAGCAGTCCTCTGTCCTCTGTTATGGAGAACAGTGGTGCATGTCCACTGAGATCAACAATAAAACCACACTCAGTGAAGGAGATCAGCTCAACAGAAACCAGCTGCACACTATGCCTTTACGCCTTCTTAAGATGGACAGAACACATAGGAGATATGTGTTAACTCTTTGCCAATGAGAAAATTCGCAAAGCCAGTTAAATCAGAAAAATAAAGAAGTGCAATTTTGATTTGAAGATGTTATAAATAGCTAGGCGGTGGTGGCACACGCCTTTAATCCCACTCGGGAGGCAGAGGCAGGCGGATCTCTGTGAGTTCGAGGCTAGGCTGGACTGACAGCCTCCAAAACAATACAGAGAAACCCTGTCTCGTAAAACCAAAAAAAAAAAAAAAAGATGCTATAAATAGAATTGGGCTTTGAGTTTTTAAAATACTTGTAACTCACTGTTGTATGAAACTAATCTACATTCATTATAAATAGCGTGTTTACAGAATTAGTCTAAAAACTTTTAAATAGTATTCAGTGAATGTTTATGGGAGATTGTTTTATGCCTATTATCCTAATCCAACAAGCTTCCATAGCAAAATTCTTTTAACGATGATAAAATTTTCAATAAAGTTGTAGGTAATAGACAGTTATCAGAACAGTGCAACTGATTGGAGGTTTGCTAAGGTCTGTGCATGTTTAAAAACACAACACCAAGCTGTCAAGCTTTAAGGTATTGAAGAAACAAGATCCGTGGAATACATCACACCGAATCAATCATAAAACACACAATCAAACTTTCAAGATTTACGGCTGTTAATTTTTTTTTTAGCAATGAGAATTGGAGAGATGGCTCAGTGGTTAAGAGCAATTGATGCTATTGAGGAAGACCTGGGTTCAATTCCTAGCACCCAGGTGGTGGCTCACAACCATTCATAACTCCAGTTCTAGGAGATCTGATGTCCTCTTCTGACCTCTCCAGGGACCAGGCATGTACATGTTGCACACACATACACGGAGACAAACACTTCTACATATAACAAAAATAAATCCCTAAAAATATTTTAACAATGATACTATTTCTCATATATGCTAGAGAATGAAGGGTGATGGGCACATTTTAATTTCATTCTTAAAATCTCACAATTATACGAAGACAAAGAGTTCTTTTAAGTCCTCATTGACTAATACTCTACAATTCACAAGCACATGTTCTAAAATTCAGTACACACCTTTGTCACAGAAACAGGAGACAAACATGTCTGTCCACCAGCACTAAAATTGCAGAAAACCTCAAAGGCATCTGAAGAGCACCCAAGATTTGGATCAATCCAGTATTTCCCTGTTAATTGATAACAAAAACACAAGGTTACTTCAACCTCATACTAAGCTACATGGACTTATATAGTGTAACATCTAAGAACAGAAAGTCCTGAAAAGAGTCTGTGTCAGCAGAGACTGATTGGCTGATGGGAATTTCCCTGTGGGGAGAGACTGGAATGTTGCAGGTCCAGAGGCTAATTACCCAGTCTTGGGCTAGGTCTAGCCTTCCCTAGACCAGCCATTGCTTGCCCACCTCTGTGTCTGGACTACCACCTTGTGACTAATAAACAGAAACCTTTTAGAATTTGTTGACTTAGCAGACCATTAGCTTCTATTGTCCCAAAAGCTAAGAGTGTCATCAGATGGTGTCCTGGGCCTATACAAAAGCTTCCCCTTCTCAGTGTGGCCATCTCTCTGACGCACTCACCAGTGTATTTTTTTTTTTTTTTTGGTTTTACGAGACAGGGTTTGTCTGTATTGTTTTGGAGGCTGTCGGTCCAGCCCGGCCTCGAACTCACAGAGATCCGCCTGCCTCTGCCTCCCTAGTGCTGGGATTAAAGGCGTGTGCCACCACCGCCCGGCTCACCAGTGTATTTTTAACTTGCCTTGATTTATGACTTCCTTTGTTCTGTATTTCATAAAACCGCTTCCACATTGGGATGTGGAATTTGGGGTAACCTGAGCCATGGCCACTCAAAATGGCCCCCAAATAAACCATCTTTTATTCCCCTTAAAATGAGAGCTGTGTTGACACATGTCGACATATCTGCCATGTCTTATCTGCTAGAATACATAGCTGATTGCAAACATCCATATTTAGCTAATGAATGAAAGCTACAAGTATGTAAAATTGTTACCCAGAACTGTATTTTTAAGACCTTATCAATTTAAAAAGCATTTCATAATCTTAATCAAAACAGTAGGTAGGCTGAGTTCACTGCTTTGGACTATGGATAAGTAGGCTGAGTTCAGTGCTTTGGACTATGGATAAGTAGGTGTCCGTTAAGAACTGACTGCAAGATGGCTCAGTGGGCAGAGGCGCTTACCACTGAGCCTCATGACCTGGTTTTGATTCTGGGGACTCAACATGGTGGAAGGGGAGAGCCAACTGCTGCAGGTTGTCCTCTGATCTCCACATACTCATTGTGGCATGTGTGTACCACCCAAAATAAATGAATGTAAATCTTTTCAATGAAAAGGTCAGCTAGCAGAGAATTACCCGAAGTTACACAACTAGTGTTATAGTTGTAGTTAATGTACATTTTTGTTATAAGAATTTTTATACAGTTTAAAATGGAGATTTCATTTCAAATAGAAATGGTTTCAACCTAGCTGGAGAAAATATATCTTTGTGGGTAATACTCATGATTAAAAATACTAAAATTGGGCTAGAGAGACGACTCTGAGGTTAACAGCACTTGCTTTGATCCCCAGCCCCTACATGGTGGCTCACAACTGTCTTGTTCTTACAGGTCCAGTTATATAGGTGATTATAGACTAGCTAAAAATGAAAACAAAATGACACAACTTTTTGGCAGTTAGTGTTTCTCTTACTCAAGTGGTGATTGATGCTCTGGGTTTAAAATATTTTCTTAACGATTTTCTCTAAGTCTACTTTTATGCTCCCAACCAAAGTACTTGAACAGGATGAGAAACTCTAAGGAGGATAAACCACTCTATTTTGATGTTTGCTGATTCTAGTTGGGGGTATATTTAAATTCTATAAAACCACATTGTTGGGGAGTGCTGTAGAAGGAGAATTTACAATTTTTTAAAAAAATGTTGTCAACTTTGATGGCTTTGAATTACCAAGGACTAAGATGTGTTCCTGTCTGTCACCCCTAAGGTCGGCTACCTTGCCAATACAAAGTATGAGAAAAAGGACACACAAGTGAGGTGATTTCAGAAGTTTATCCTCCTCAAAGACTAGTTCAGTTATGATGACATTATAGTGGCCTTTGCTGATGTTTTATCAAAATGACTGAGATCTGAAGTGAATGCCCTGCAGATCTCAAATGTTCTGAAATGATGAGGTTAGACATGAGAATCTGATGAGAAGAACTTACCATCAGAAACCTTGTACTCACAGCTGAGCAAATCCTTGCAGATCCGTGCTGGGTTAGCTCGTGTGCCAAGAGGGTTCTTCATGCTGCTCAGTAAACTGCTAAGGTAGGTCAGGGTTTTGAATATCTCTGTACTGTGGTTGATTAAAGTCACTTCAGTATTCGGGTAACTCTGCCAAGTCATCAGAAGAGTCATGTGAGCGGGAAAACCCTAATAACAATCTGGACAAGGCAGAACAAGACTGCGATGCTAACTGCTTTTGGAGAGCTGGGAATAGTGTGGGAAAATGTATCTTCATAGCTAAGCATGGATATCCACTTATTGGTCCATGATCTCAAGAGAAAGCCAGAGTTAAGCTTGTCAGTTGAGAAGAGACCTAAAAAATTATTATGCCTACTGTACCATGACTTTAAAACTCCATATAAAATAATCAGAGTTTAAAATTCTATCTTAAACTTTACTGTAAAACTCTTGCCAAAAAACCCACCAAAAACCATACACTGACATCATTCAGAACCAGACTATTGAGCTTAGTGATCTTCTGCACAGTTAGAACAATCATCCTGAAGCTGTGGCTCTTCACATTGAATTTTAGGCTTTTACTATCAGATACACTGTTTTCTTTTTTTAAACTTAGATTAGAAGCAAGCTTGCTTCACATGTCAATCCCAGCTCCCTCTCCTTCCTCTCCTCCCACGCCTCCCACCCCCCCAATCTCCACCCCGCTCCCCAGGGAGGGTGAGGCCCTCCCTGGGTGATCTCCAGAGCCCTATCAGACACATTTTTATGTACTCATCCACCGTGCAAAAATGAAAAATGCATGACAGAATGAAAATGAGAAAAACAACTGGCTTTGTATTTTTCGTTCATAACTCATGTCCTGTCTGCATGGACTCTTCCTCATACGCTAATATTTAGCTTCCCAAGTTCTCTTTTCTATGTGTAATACAGTACACACACATGCACTTGTTTATGTATGTGCACAGATGATTGGCTAGATTCAGCAAAGGGGGAGAATGGGCTTTCCCCCTTCTTTCTGAGATGAAATGACTGATCATGACAACCCCTACTGTAAGAAATATGGTTAATTTTACTTTACTATCTTCCTGGCAGTACCAAATCCCTTTTAAAAGTTCTAATTTGTTTGCTTTAAATATTTTTCTTATGAAACATCCTGTGCATGTATTTCTGTTTTATTATACTTGAAAACAGTTTCAGATTTTCTGTTTCAAATATGACCTTTGAGATAATGCCACATTTTGGCTTCCAAAAAAATCCCTCTGTTTAATTTGAATATTGAAGCTGCCAATATAAATAGAGTCAGATATATTACCTCCATCTGCAGGGCAGAATTTGATGCAATCAGGGTTTGAATAGCAGCATTGATATCCATTTGTCTCTGTTAAAACAAAACCACTTGAGATTACAATAAGGTCAAGACAGTGTTCTAAAGGACTCTGTGTTCACTATGTTCTGGGAACCTTGCTGTTAAAGGCTACCAGATTGATATGAATGGGATCTTCAACTCTTATGAAGACAGATCTTGCAAATGATACCTAGCTATTTTATATGAAAAACATCACATCACCTTCATCCTGATCCCACAGGTCTCCTTCAAACAGGACCTGGTTGGGAACTTACTGATGGAAGCTGTTTGTCCCTGCTGTATGAAAGGATGACACATCACCTCTCAAATGGAAGAAGAATGAAACACAATGCCCCCATATAATAAATTGCACACCAGAGAATAAATAACTGTAGTAATTTTTAACAGTTCTATTCTTGGAAGGAAAGTAGAATAAAATACTGCTGTCCTGAGGTAGTCACCACAAGAGCTCAATCTGATACTTTTGTGGTCTTAAAAACAATTTCTGAAGTTGGAAAATGTACCATTAGCCCCAAAAGAACTAACAGTACAAACTCAATCTGTTCCTGCATTTAATAAAATGATATTTTAAAAGAAAAACTCAGTATGATCATTTGTAATAGTCTTTTATAATTAAAAATAATATCTTGGAAATGAAGCAGCCTTCTGGAAATCACATCTGTGCAAGTGAGGCAAGCCATCTGAATTTATCTCAGAAAGATTATGATACTGAGATACCGTTTTTTTTCAAGCCCATAGGATGGAAACTGCCTATCAACAGTCCATTCTCAAGTCGTGGTTGGTAATTGGAAAAGCCATTCAAGATGATGGAAGAATCAATAAACACCACCCCCATTGTCTTCACATGTGGCTTTCATATTGGAAAAGAATTCACTCATTCCGCATGCATGTATTTCCAAACACTTTGATAAGTGTTGAGGAGAAAATTGTAAGCAAGAAAGAGTATTGTTCCCATGGAGGTTCATGCTAGAGGGAACAAGCACAGATCAAATGACGTGAAACCACACAGTTAGAAACTGTTACACGTGCGATGGAAGAAAGTGCATGGGGCGCTGCGAGAAACTGGGAAGCAAAGCTGGGGAGTGCAAGACATTGGCGAGGGGACATTTTCTTGTGACTGTGGCGTCTGAAAGGAAATAAAGAACGAGAATGGTTAGGGAAAGGGAGAAGAGCTTCCCACGCAGAAATAACAACCTTGGACGAAGTCCAGGAGACATGACCTGTCCAAGAAGTAGGAAAGGTTAGGCTAAGAACTTCCTCTGCAGATTAAGCAATCCTACAGTCTGAGACTAAGTCTTGCTATGTAACTCAGGATGTCTTTGAACCCACTATCCTCCTGCCTCAGCGCTTCAATACTGGGATGACTGGAGCATGCCACCACGCTGGCTCGTGGTGTGGGATTGAAAGTACTTATTGGAACACCTAGCACAGTGGCTCTTAAACTCTTCAGAATTAGAAGGCTCTTTGGTCTTTCACTGTGACTAAGTGAGACTGAGGCTGTGTAAAGCTCTCTCCAGGCAGACATTAGGCCATGGGGTCCATCTTCAAAACCATAAGACACAAAACCCAACCAAATGGAATTATAATTGAGTACTTTAAAAGACTTTTGCTTATATGAGTTATAACTTTGGCATTTACCAAAATAGAAATGTAAACATAAAGTTTCAAATGACACATTACTTGCTTAAAATAACAATACATTTATTATATGATAGAATCACTAAAGTATTCTTATGCATTGTTTTACAAAACAACAAGCTCATTAGTATGCTACTGCCTTTTGCACATATTTAATGTTTAGGCTAATGATGGAAAGTAAAAGCTCATTTGTTTCTGTAGTCAGTGCATTTGCTGTTTCCTTTTACTATTTCTATCATTGTTTTGACTTGGGCCATCAGAACAGTCATTCTATTTCATACAACTAGGCACTGTCCACTTTTAGAACTACAAATGGAGTCAAAGGACTTTTAAGCTAAATTATTACAATTTTGAGTTTGGACAAAGTCAAAGCCTGCAAAATAGACACAGGAGGGACAGAACAAGACTGAAGTCACTTCAGAGTTTTACTTCCTAAACGCTGTCATTAGTTGGCCTTTCTGGTGGTACCCTGGAAGACATCTAGGACCGTCTTTATTCTACCCAATCCAGCAGTCATTCAGTACAACGTAAGGTTATCCATGGGAACATTTCCCAAAAGTATATGCAGTGAATTTTTTAACTTTGTCTAAAACAGAAGAGAATGAAGCAACCACTGGGATAACCAGAAGTTTCCAAAGGAAAGCTAGAGGATGTGATGTGGTAGAGACCTTCAATGGTTCTGACCACATTCCAGAATCTGAAACTCTAGGCGATGTTAGCACTACATATGTGCTCAGAGAGTCCCGAGCGGTGCCAAGCTGTCAGCTGATCTTGAGGTTCTGTGAGAGCAGATGAAGGTTAAGATGTAATTATCAACTTCCTGGCTGAGCATTGGGATGGTACCACAATTACACACAAATCCCATTTGCAAAAGTGGAAGCCTTATCATCCCTGGTGCCTAAGAAAACCTAGTAGGAAATCTCTGTTAGAAGTTAGCTGAGCACTAAGCTGAGAAGTGACTCCAGGGTTCACACATAGCAAAGAATGTAGATTACATGGCTCAGAAATGTCAGCCAACAACAATGGAAAGCAACAAGAATAATTCAGGTCGAGGGCAAGAATATGTCTAGGGATGTGACATTCTACTATGAAAAATGTCTTCTTTGGTTCTGTCTGTCTGATGATTCTGTATCTGCAGGTTTAACAAACATGATCAAATTATAAAAAATTTCACCTGTACTGGACAAATACAGACTTCTCTTATTATTGTTACCTAAACAATATAGTTCAATAAATAGTCCTATTATGTTGTATTTTGTGAGCAATTTGGAGATAACTTAAAGGTTATAGGAGCATTTGTAGATAATTTGTAGATTGTAGGCTATATTCAAATGCTATGCCAATTTACATAAGGAACTGAAGCATTTGTGTATTTGGGTATTAAAAGGAGTCTGGCCATTTTTCCCTGTGAATTCCAAAATATGACTATTGCAAAACATGTGAGAAATAGGAGTGTGTGGCCACTATACAGGAAAACAAGCAGTCAATAGAAACTCTCTGAGGGGCCAGCAAGAGGGCTCAGGGAGGAAAAGTGCCTGCCCCTAATCATGATGACCTGAGTCCAATCCCCAGCACCCACAGGATGGAGGAAGAGAACTGACTTAACAAGTTGTTCTCTGACCTCTGCAAATGCAGAATGACACATGTACTCCTCCTAAAAAAATTTAAAGAAAGAACTGTCTGTGAGAAATCTCAGATTGTGTAAGACAAAGACATTGACTTAGCAATGTTTGAATAACTAAAAGAAACTTTTTATAAGACTAAAGAATGGTGAACACATTTCATTAAATAAAAATTCTAAAGCAGAGGCCGAAACTACATGGAAAATGCCCACATTGAAACTCTGGAGTTGAAGAGCATAGCTGAAATAAAAACTTACTGTACAGACTCAACAGCAGATTTTAGCGGTAAGAAGAAAGCATTGGTGGCTATAAAGATGGGTTTATTGGGATTATCTAGTCTGAGTGGAAAGAAAAAAAGAGAATGAAGACGAAGAAACAGAAACTGGAGGACACTACCTAGTAGACAAACATAGGTGTCCTGGGAATGGAAAGGAAGAAAAAAAGGGGCCTAATATTTGAAATAATAGCTATAACCATGCTGTATTTGATGAGAAACAGTAATATGCACATCTTAGAACTCTATGAAATGTTGGCAAGTTGGGGGCAACAGGATCATGAATTTGAGGACAGCCTGGGCTACATAGTGAGTTAGAGGAAACCTGGGCCATCTAAGAAGACAGTATCTCAAACAAACTAAAACTAAGAAAGCAAACAAACAGAATTTTCAGCACCACAGGCAAAAAGAGAATGTTAAAAGCAGAGATAGGAGAAGTTTGCCACAGCCCAGAGACACTCAAAGTGTCGCTCAAGACCCACAGCAGTGAGAAGGCAGCGTGCGGGGTGTGGAAAGGCATGTGAAACGTTCAAACATGAAGGAGAATGAAGACGTTTTCAGATAAATGAAAACTGGTATAATCTAGCACTAGCCCACCTTACATAGAGAACGTCTAGAGGGGAGGGAGGGATAGCTCAGTGGTTAAGAGGGCTTGTGGCTCTCACAGAGGACAGAGCTCAGTTCCCAGCACCACATCAAGTGGCTTACAACCATCTCTAACTCCAGGTCCAAGCGATCGGTGCCCTCTTCTAGCATCTTCAAGTAACCTCATATACATGCACATACATGAAGAGTTGAACATGGTAGCATGTGAGGTCCTCAATCCCATCTGAAATATTTCCCCACCCCCTCTAAAAGCAGAGAGGACACTTTTCCTGGGTGTGGTGGTGCATGCATATAATCTCAGTATGTGAGGGATGAAGAGGAGGACAATTGAGAACTTAAGGTCAGCCTAGGCTACACTGTGAGTCTAGGTCATCCTGGGTTACCTAGCATGATCCTGTCTCACAACACCAAACCACTGGGATTGGGCTCCACATCCCTGCATTTTGATTGGCTGTGGTTTTCTGTAGTGGTCTCCATCTGTTGCAAAGAGTGTTTTCTTTGATGAGGGGTGAAGAGTGCACTTAGCTGTGCACATAAGGACAAATGTTTGTAGATTGTTTTTAGGGATTATGCTGGTTTAGTAAATAAGTTGAGTGTAGAGTCTCCTTCAATATTGTTTCTCTTAGGTACTTTGTCACAGTGAGTGATGGAAGGAAAGCTATTTACATCTCACCTTTGGGGACTGGTCCTAAGGCTACTCGACATATGTTAAAATGATGGGTCTATTGACAGGACATTTGTAGTAATTGTATTTACAGAGGATTGGAAACAATTTGAATGTTTATCAACAGAAGACCGAATGAAAGAATAACAGGGTATTCCTAAATCAAATGACTGGTTTATCTTCTTTGAGTATGTTTGAGTGAAGAATACAACGAGGATGGTACTTAATTAACGCTAAAGCAACCACAACTTTAATCATGGCTGGTACAAGTGAGGCTCGATGAAAAAGGTAATTATCTTTTGGAACAGACATTAGGAAATAAGAACATTTCATAGGACTTAGTTCTCATGACTTTTCTTTGCATTCTTCATATTCCTACAATTCCTAGACTATTCCTAAAGCCCAGTCTACCTTTTGACACATATGAGGAATTCAGTATGCTGACTTTGTTATTTTCTCTCATTTTTAGAGCCAGACAGATTGAATTAAGAGGATTTTGAGGAAGTCATTCAGTAACAGCTCTGAGTCCACATCTGAGCTCAGACTTTTCATTTGGAGCCGGGCATGGCGGCAGACACTGTAATCCCAGTACTGGAGATTATGAGCTCAAGGTGAGCCTAGGACAGTTTCAAAGCAAAGTAGCAGAAAAAGCTCTAAGTTCAGTGAAGGATTTTAAAAAAAAGAGTCTTTTTATGTGCTCCAGTTTAAGAGAACATATTATAACAAGAAAATCACTTAATGTTTTAAACATAGGCATAAAATTGCCCACATCTGAGTATAAAACTGTTATTACATGCAGGGAAAGAGTCCAAAATGAAATGAAATAAAACAAAACAGCTTTGAGAGAACGCATTGTCCTGTGAAAAATCACTTAAACTGTGTTTTACAGACAAGCGCATACGTTAGGAGACAGATCAAGGAGCCAGCAGTAACTAGCGAGCCACCTCACAGTCTCACGTGACAGGGTCTAGGTGACTTCATCACACTTTGCCAGAATGTAACCCTCCCACCCTCACAGACTCAAACACGGGGTCAGTGTAATCCTCCCAACTCTTTCCCATGTTCATGTGAGTGGCACATGGATCCAACCTGGGCACTTCAGGGGTTTGGGGATGTCGCTTTTCGGAGTTCTGAAGTCTCAAGGTGGGTGGATGCTGATAACGTTGAAGGACTAGGGATCAATCTGAGGCCTTGACCCTCTCTGGTAGAAGTATTTCTGGCCCTTGAAGCCAGGACCGTTCTGCCACCTCTGAACTCACCTCTCCAGTTCTCCAAGTTGACCACGAACTAGGAGAGATCAGCTGAAATCCCTTACCACATTTACTGATGCTTGTGTACATATCACCACACACACACACACACACACACACATGCACACACGGACACACATGCACATATGTGTACATGCACACTTGGGTGCACACACACATACACATACATGCACACACACACACGCGCACACACATGCACACACAGGCACGCACACACAGAGGCACGCACACATGGGCATGCATGCACATACATGTACATACACACATGGGTGCACACGCACACACACATGCACACACGGTCACGCATGCACATATGTGTACATGCACACCTGGGTGCACAGGCACACTCATGCAAACACACATGCACATGCATGTTCACCCCCCACATTCCCATCCTGCCCCTCCTTTAGCACATGAAGGGCCATTTCTGGCACCCTGGGGCAGACTTTGGCATTGCTTTCTAAGTGTCACACCACAGGACCTGGCCCAGTCATACCAGATCCTTGCACTCTCTCCATCATCAAAGCACACTTCTTTCCCGAAAGTATTAGCTTCTCACTGCACTTCAGGACAGTGAGACAATGTAACTCCATAAGCCTTCAATGGAGCCCTGGGCCAGGGAGGCTGGGTTAGATAGAGCGCCTCAAACTTCTTTCATCTTGCCCCACAGTAAGAAATTTCTACGTCGTGACAAAGTTCACAGAAAAATATAACTGACAGAATGGTTTTGCAAAAACATTTCATTATCTCTAGTAATGAATGATGCACTAAGGTTTGATATTTATTGATCTAAGATTCATATAGCATGAAATTTACCAGTTTTATCATTTTAGAACATATAGTATATAACCTTCAGTCATCACTAATAATTTCAGAAAATTATCACCCTGGAAACAAACCCCATGCCCATTACATTAATCAGTCGGGTGTATGAGATGTGTACACGTGTCCACACAGTGTATATGTGTATGTGTGTATAACATCCTTGTGTATAGAGTGTGCATGCATGTACAAGATGTGTGCACGTAGTGTATACATGTGTCCACACAGTGTATATGTGTATGTGTGTGCATGCATGTACATGTGAACGTGCATGTGAAGGCGGCAGGAAGATGTTGATCATCTTCTGATCTCTCACTGAAACTGAAGCTTGGCATTTTGTCTAGTCTGGCTGGCTGCCCAGAGCTTCCAAGATCCGCCATCTCCACCCTTTCAATGCTGGGTTTCAGGTGTGGGTATCCATGTCCAGCTTTGTTACATGGCTGTCAGGGATTGGATCTCAGGTCTATTTCTTTCACAGTATACACTGTCACCCACTGAGCCATCTCTCCAGACCTACTTTCTACATATTTTACTTTATTACAAAAGAATGTTGTAGAGACTCACTAAATTGGTCTCATCTTCCACAGAGTAATGAATTCAATTTGCACTCTGAAATAACTACATACACTACCCACACAGATGCTACACATATGTATGGAGAGAAGTGACTGTGTGAACAGAACACATGCATACACTACATGACACACACACACACACACACCACACATCACACACACACACACACACACACACACACACACACACATTAGAAGCAGGAGGAATTGATTAATATAATGGGCATAGTTTTTTTTCCCCAGGGTGATAATTTTTTCTGAAATTACTAGTGATGGTTGTACATTACAAATCTAATATCATATGTTCTGAGAAACCATTTTGTCAGTACATTTTGGTGTGAATTTTGTCACAATGTATAACTTACTGAATAATTATGGAGAGGTCTTCTAATCCTTTGTTTTGTTTCTGAGGCAAGGTGACATTACGTTGCCTAGCTGGCCTTGAATTTGTAATCTTCAGCTTCCTTAGTAACGTGGCTGTAGCATTACTGCGTGTGTCACCGTGCTTGCCTGGACATTTACGCTCATCCTGTCATCTTACCTCCTTCCAAATGAAACCATTTTCTTAGAGGATTCATGTTGAAATGCTCTAAGAGCCTGACATATGAGTGTGTGTGTGTGTGTGTGTGTGTGTGTACATGGCACATATATTCAACAAATGCTTATTAAAGACTTGAATAGGAAATAAACATAAAAAGTAAGCATAATGCAATGAGGAGCTAGGGTTATGAAGATTGGGCTGTAACCATTGTCATTTAGACTTCTGCTGCACAAACGCTAGCCTGTGACATTCCTGCACTGGCCTCTGCGAACACTGTGAGGAAATGGGTTTTCACATTTGACAAGAATAGGAAGACAGAGGAGAGAAACAGCAAAGAAGGAAACAGACAGGCTAACACTGAAGGAGCACCTTACTTATCAAACACAGGTACTTCCCAGTTTAACCCTCCTGATAATTCCTCAGAGTATATACTCACATCCATATTTATTTCCTCAAAGAAGAAAAATGTCATGTTAGCTATGCAGCAACTCATAGATTTCCAGCTGAGGCTAGGGAATATGCACCCTAATTAGGTGCTTAAATACAAAAGTGTCCTCTACAGTTTTCTAGTTTGCCATTAATTTTGTGATTCTTCAGAACTTACTTTGCTTCATGATGACAGCTACAGTTCCTCAAAGCTATCACGAGGTGGGGAGGCAATGGACAAGGGCAAAAGACAACTTACAGTCCGTGCATTGCAAGGACACAGAGGACAGGAAAGAGCAGAGAGGCTTAGTGTGCATGAAAGATCCGTGGCACTTGCTGGAAAATTATTCCCAGCTGCAAAGCAAAACTGAGGAAAAGGCGGAACTCCAAATCTTCTGAGTGGGGAACACTGTGGACAGCCACCCAGAACTATCATGATCTAAATGACATAGGAACAACATGTGGAAATAGTTATGGCTTGGAAAGCACAAGGCTGACCATTGCTTGGAGCAAATAGTGGATGTCAATTGGGAAGGAAATGTGATCATTTGCCACCGTATTCGAGCAGGAGACTGATAGAATGAGGCACGGCTGAGATTGGGGGACTTGTCACTCTATGCGGGCAGGAGACTGATAGAATGAGGCACAGCTGAGATTGGGGGTAGAGAGAGACCCTTAATGAGAAACATGGGACCAAAGGGGCTTTAGAACACGGCAGTAGATAAGAAGAGAAACTAAACTTAGAATATCGGAATATCAGAGATAATAGCTGAAGAAATAGAAATGTTATTTTAAAACAAGCCTAGCATGTTTCAGGCTGTGGTAGTTAGATCAAAACCAAACACATGAGATGTCTGATGGCTTTTCCAGGCCCTGGCAACTGACAAGGATTCATGTAAAACCTAAGAAGAGAACTCTGGTTTAAAAAAAAGATTGAAAAGAAAGAACCAGGTCCCAGAAACAAGAAGAAACGGAGTACCTATTATGTACCATCCTCTGTGCTGGATGCTTTCCTAGTGTTTAATGTTCAAGATGAACCAAAAGCCAGGAAATATAATCTCTCCTTTCTATATAAGAAATGTAAGGCTCTTGGAAACAGCCTAGATGCCCCTCAACTGAAGAACAGATAAAGAAAATGTGATATATTTACACAATGGAGTACTACTCAGTGGTAAGAAACAATGACATCCTAAAATTCACAGGCAAATGGACAGGACTAGAAAAAGCCATCCTAAGTGAGGTAACCCAAAACCAGAAAGACGAATACAGTATGCACTAATTCATAAGTGGATACCAGACATAAAGCAAAGGATACCCAGCCTACAATCCACAATCCCAGAGAAGCTAGAACCCTCTTCCAGAAACAGATGGAAGCAGATGCGGAAATCCACAACTAACCATTGGGCCAAGCTCCTGGAGTACAATTGAAGAGAGGGAGGAGAGATAATATGAACAAAGGAGTCAAGAGCATGATGGGGAAACCCACAGAATCAGCTGACCCGAGCTAGTGAGAGATCACTGACTCAGGTCTGATAAATGGGGAATCTGCATGAGACCAAACTAGACTCTCTTAATATAGGTGGCAATGTTGCGGCTGGGACAATATATGAGGCCACAGGCAGTGGGTTCAAGATCTAACTCTAATGCACAAACTGACTTAGTAGAGCCCATTCTATATGGACAGATACTTTGCTCAGCCTAGACACAGGGGTGGGGTGGTGGAGAGTTGCCTTGGTCCTGTCTCAAAGTTATGATGGGACAGACTTAGTAGACTTCCTAGGGGAGGCCTTACTCTCTCTGTGGAGCAGATGGGAGGAGGGATGAAGTGGGGGGAACAGAGGAGAGGAGGGAGAGGGAACTGGGATTGGAATGTAAAACTAAATTAATAAAAAGAAAAGAAATGTAAGGCTTGGATTTCAAGGTCTCATAACTGGGCTGGCTTAGCAAAAGGAACCACAGTATACTAGAAAGATGGGGTGACTAGAAGGTTTAAAGTTCACATGGCGGGGGTGGAGCGATAGCTCAGGGGATAATAGCACTTGCCACTCAAGCTCGAGGACCCGAGTCAGTCACAGGACCCACATTACAGTGCCAACATGCTTGAGCAAGCTTGCAAGCCCCAGCTGTGGGGACAGGGTTTTGCTGGCTACCAGCCTAGCTCCAGGTTCAGCAAGAGAACCTGTCTCAAAGAATGCATACACAATACACACATACAGCAACATACATGTATAGAACACATACATACCAATACACATACATACAATACACAACAATACACATACATACAACCTACATACACACCCACACCCACAAACACACTCACACATCCGTGATCCACCCCCAGTGTTGGTAGAATAAAACCAACCAAGATAACTTACTCTTGGACCAGGTGCTCCAGGTGGACCCTGTAACATAATCAAAAAACAAAACGAAACAAATCAAAACCCAGCCGGTAAATATCTCAAAATCAGGCAACTGTGTATTAATCAAGGACAAACAGATATAAACGAAGATGAACTCACAGGAGGTCCTGGTTGACCTCTCGGTCCTTGGGGACCCTAAACCAAAGGAAGACAAAGCACAATATGTAGACAATTTGCTTTTGATTTGGTATTAACCAAGACCCAACCTCTGCCATTGCCTATTGATGTGGCGCATATCACATGATTCACAATTCTTTCCATATTTAGAAGCGCTTACTCTTAACTGTGACCCATAATTCTCAATAACCTGGAAATTTAAGTTTTTGAGGGCAGGGAACTGTTTGCTCATTTTAAAAAATTAAATAAGTTGTGATGTAAAATATTAATACATTGTAAGTTATTTCTATTAGCACATCATATATATACATATATATATATTTTCCCCTTCATGTATATGTGAACTGTATCCCTCTAACCATCACCAAAATACTTCCTTATTTTCAATGTAAATCACATATTATGGCCTAATGCTTGCATCCCCCAACCACTGCATAATGTCCCAGTTTTTAACTCTGTGGTGTCTGCAATGGGTCACAAGGGTGAACTCTGTACAGAGATCAACACCATTAGGAAAAGAGGCAGAGAGATAATCCGCTATCCTCAGGACCGGGATAAAGGTAGAAGCTGGTATTCTGTAAAGCAGGAAGATGTCAGTCTATCCATCGCACTAATGACATTCTTCTTAGAAAGTGGAATGGATCGTGGAGTGGAGGGGCTCTCATTCGGAGGTGAAGCATAAACTTCTTAGCGGTGTGGCTCACTATTCATTCAGAGCTCCTCCCATGTCACACAGCAGAAAACGGAACCACTGAGTAACCAGTGAATGAAGAGCAGGGGTAGGACCACAGCTTAAGTAAGCTAACTATGGGAGTGATGCTCTTAGACACTTCATCCTGTTGCCTCCTCTGCAAGGTGTGGTCCTTACCAACACACCCTCCACACCTTCTGCAGCCAGCTACTTGTACATCTCTAAGCCCTCCTTCCCTTTTCACCTGCCCCCTCTCCTATGTCCTCTTCCTCCTGTCTTCCTTCCCTTCATTCCTTTCTTCCTGTAGATTTTGTCTCTGTAGCCCAACCAGCTCCAAGCTCCCACTCTTCTCGTTCCAGCCTCCGGATTATGGGATTATGGGCATGTACCGTCATCATGCCTGGCGTCCCAAGTATTTTCATGAATGCATGCGTTTGCACATGCTCCTGTCTACCCATTCTACCTACCGAAGATCTCTCAACACTACTTTAAAACTCTATATCCACCGTAACCACCTGTCATTGGCACTTCCTTTCCCCTCAACTAATTATTTCTTTTTTTTCTCCATTCCACAGAATACAGCACTGTGGAACGTACCCAAGGCTTGGTAAAATGTCTGTTGCTTTTTAATTTTCTGAAACAAGAAGAGTGCCTAATACACACGAGAGCCTCAATAATTGTTACTACATAATCAAACAATGTTGAAAGTGTTATTAATTTAGAAAGGAAAAAGGCTAAATAGGTACATTAAGATGCCCAATTATGCTGACATTTTAGAAAACGAATCAACAGTAATCATGGTTCATGTCTTACACATCTGCACAAAATAAACTTATCTGAGGTGAATCAAATGTTAGCATCATATTGAGTCAAACTCAGATTATGATTAAAAGATGGTAAATAGAAGACTCCATCTCCAGCTGTCTTCAAATACTGTTAACACTGTAACTGGCTTCTTATTCAGGCCCCTTGATCACTAAGGCTGCTAACCTGGAGTCTGTTGTGACAGCTAGAGCACATAACACGCAGTTACTTAAGTAGGCTAGAGAACCTCATACTTTGCATGATAGACATTTCATAGTTTTCATGATCTATGCTTAAAATTGTAAGCAGAGAGTGTTCAGAAGTTGTCCTCTGGAAACTGCCAGCTAAGTTGCAGGAATACCGTTACTAGTGATAGTTTAATTTCCAGTTATGCAGAGGTTAGAGCAAATTTGATCCATTCGGAATCAACACTGCTGAGCAGCTGTGTGATTGAACCACTGGGTATGCTTCTGACGTTTATAAAATCTCTTTGATGGCTCAGGACAAAGCATGTATCCTATATTTGAGTCCAAAAGAGGAATGTACCATAGGAAAATGAACGAACGCTCCCTGCTGCTGACACGACAGCCTCATTTCAGTGTGTTCCTCAGAGAAGATCAGTTCACCACAAGTATGATGCAATGACATACTTAACATGCAACAAGGCAGGGCAGGACAACCCAAACCCAACAATGGCACGAAACGGGTCAAGTAACCAAATAAAACAAATTGTGACTCCAACCACATAGCGTGCTATTAGTTCCCTTATTCCTTAGCTGGCATGGCTAAGAGAGTCATCCACCTTTTGTCTATTACATAGAGTACTGTGTAGCAAAACTATCATTGTCCTAAGGGGAGCCATATTCATGGAGATGGCTGTGGTGATGGGTTGGTTGGCTATAGAGAAACCATTCTCTTCGAATCATGCCAAGTTCTTACTGCTTCATTCCAGAATTTAAACAAATCCCTAAACAGTAACACAGTTTATCATTTGATTCAAGAAAACAAGTAAGTGTATGACCTTGGATCTGAGTATGCGGTCCCTTCCCTCCCCTTCCCTTCCCTCCCCTTCCCTTTCTTCCCCTCCCCTCCCCTTCCCTTCCCTTCCCTCCCCTTCCCTTCCCTGCCCTGCCCTCCCCTTCCCTCCCCTTCCCCTTCCTTTTCTCCTCCTCCTCTCTCTTCCTTCTTCCCTCCACTCCCTTCCTTCCTTCCTTCCTCCCTCCCCTCCCTCCTTCGCCTTCCTTCCTTCCTTCCTTCCTTCCTTCCTTCCTTCCTTCCTTCCTTCCTTCCTTCCTTCCTCCCTCCCTCCCTCCCTCCCTCCCTCCCTCCCTCATTCCCTCCCTCTCTCTTTCTTGATTTTTCCAGACAGATCTTTTTCTGTGTAACAGCTCTGTCTGTCCTGGACCTCACCCTGCAGATCAGACTGGCTTCAAACTCACAGACATCCACCTGCCTCTGCCTCCTGAGTGCAGGGATTAAAGGCGTTTACCACCACCTGCCTTGATCTTTTTTCTTATGTGAATTCCTTATTTAATTTCCTCTATGTAAATGCAGTTGTCAGTTACCTCATGAGTTCTCTTAGGTTGGTTTAGTTTTAGTGTGGTCTTTCTATTTAAAAATGGAGGACTTCTATTACAGGATGCTTAGTCTCCATTTTCTAACTCACTAGTATATCTCCCTTGTCCAGTTGTGGCAACTGGAGAATGTATCTAGTCTTTGCCAAATACTTCTTTGGGGCTAAGGCACAGATGACTTCTCTTGAGAACCACTGGATCGAAGGACTTAACTTCGAGTTTTACAATACTGAGTGATATTTCTTAGACAGCAGTGTTTGGATGGAATCAGTGCATTAGAAGGGTTAAAGCATGACTGCAAGTTAGGAGTCTGACCTTCAGGCTGCCTGTGAGTGGCTAGTTTCTCTGTAGCTCTCTTTGCCAGCTTTCTCCCCATCTTTAGTTTTCTGAGAGGCTCTGTGATTTAGGAAAAGACATTTGAGGACGGGGAGATAGGCTCTAATCTTGTCTTTGTAAGTTACCCTATGCTCTTGGGCGTACCCCTACTGATTCAGGTCACAGGTCTGATTTGAAAAATAGCAGGCTCACCGAGTGTGATGGTTTGTAAGAAAATGGCCTCCAAAGGGAGTGACACTATTAGGAGGTGTGTCACTATGGGGGTTGACTTTGGAGGTCTCCTATGCCTAAAGTACACTCAGTGTGGCAGTTCATTTCCTGTTGCCTGCAGATCAAGATGAAGACCGCTTAGGCTTAGCCTCTTTTCCAGCACCGTATCTGCTGGCATGCTACCTGCCATATCCTGACATGAGGACAGTGGACTCTGAAACTGTAAGCCAACTCAATTAAATTGTTTCCTTTACAAGAGATGCCATGGTTATCATGGTGTCTCTTCACAGCAATAAAAACCCTAACGAAGACAGTGAGGCCCTCTCAAGGATTTAGTTTGCAGACTGAAGACCTAGCACAGTGTCAGAGTGCTTGTCTAGCATACTTGAGGCCCTATTTAAGGCTCTAACTTTGAACATATGTGCACACAAATACACATACATACACACACACACACACACACACACACGGCAGAAGAGAGAGAAAATGTGAGAATTGTGGTTTTCAAGCCTTTAAAAATTAATTATTTCTCATCTTTTTTTTTTAGTGGGAGAGAGGGTTTACACCCATGAGTGTAAGTTAAAGGTTTCAGTTTTGAAGTTTGTATGACTGTAAAGGAATTTGTAGTTGAATCAAAGGAGCTGATTTATTTTCATTTGAATAATTATACCACCTAAGAATGAAAATACACCTACATATTTTAAATTCTTATCTTTAAAATATAGGATGTTTCCAAATACTTTTTTTTGTCATACTGTGTAAGCCAAAAAGGAGGCAATAATTCTGATACCCAAAAGCTGTCAAGCCATATTAAAGTAGTTGAGAAAAATGTCAGTGGAATTCAACATTAAACTGATTTTTTATCTTATCATAACATACTATCGAAATGAAGCAGCCTTCCTAAAATTTATGGGAAATTGTTCTCTACATTTTTCCTACTTCTATGGCTTTCAAGCTGTTTCAAGTTGTGATGTTCTGTCAAAATCAGAGAATGTTATTTTTGGTGCAAGCTAATGTTTTACTTTAAAAGTAGCTGTATTCTATTATTTCTGACAAGTGCTCCTTAAATTTATCCTCAAATCAGCTGTGTCCTAAAAGCGTTTTTGGAATCCTAGGAGATGCAGGAATTCTTTCAAAAATTAATTTACAAGAAACATAAGAGTTTTGAAATTAGGGGGAAAAGGGAAAGGTAAATTTTACTTACTACCTGTGAGCAGGTTTATTAGGACACCCTAATCTGGATCTGCTTAGAGAATATATGTGAGTTCCAGGCTTTAAAAAGAAAACCCATAGTCAGTCAGACAGGGACCAAGTATGGAATAGAGAAGAAATCTCTTACACAGATGTACAGAAATGGCATCCAACTGGTGGAAAGGACTCATTTCTAACGAGTTTTGGAATCT